ATGGGAATACCAGCTACAGCTCTTCATTTAGTACCACTTCTGGAAACTGAACTAATATAAAAACATCAAACACTATTACATGTGTATTTAATATTTTATTAATAGTAAAGTATGTTCTGTATGTTGGTGATAGGCACAGCTTATTATTGTAACATTATTACCAAAGGGAGACGATGGCTCTCAGGCGGGAGCCGACTCGTTCAGGAACGACACATTACCATCGTGAGTTGTTTATCAGTGTGTGTGTGTGCAGGATGTTCCCGGCGCCGTGTCCGTGGAGGAGATGACGGAGCTGCTGAGCCTTCACAAGCTGTGCTGTGGGAGGAGCTGGCACATTCAGGGCTGCGACGCCCGCAGCGGGATGGGCCTCCACGAGGGGCTGGATTGGCTCTCCAGACAGCTGGTGGCTGCTGGTGTCCTGGACGTTGCCTAAATGTCACCTCCCTCTATATCGCTATTCTGGTCTCACTCTCTCCCTTAGTGACTGACCCCAACCCCCCCCACCACTTCCAAACACTAACTTTTAAGACGAGACTGCAGCTTTAAGCCTGCCCTCTTCATCTTTCCTTCTTTGCGCACCATTGTTGGCAAAGAAAACAAAGATGTAAATACTTTCTCTAGCTTCACTGAAACATGGAAACTACAAAACTTTAAGGTCTGTGCAACCGGTTACACCCACCCTCTGAGAAATAAACACACCAGCCACAAAAAAAAAAAAAACTCCTATCCTGCTTCAGTTCTAAGGCAGCTTTCAAGGTCTAACACATGGCTTACTTTAGTTTTACTCTGTTCTAACCTTTTTCAAGAGACGCGCTCTTTATCTGGCATCCATAGCTAGTCGACTTTGGTCCAGTAAAATGTTAAAAATGCTCCTTGTGCCCTGCCAGAGTGGACTCTATCTGTATTTTCTATCTCACATCATAACCACCACCGTATGTAACAGTAACCTTAACTAAACGCAAAGTAGTCTGTATCGTAATGATAGTATAATTTACGTACCTTTTTGTTGACAACGCATCCGATAACCCTGAGAAATAACTACAGTTCAGTGTATCCGCAGGCGAGATGGGACAGAAACGTCCACTCTGGTGTGAACAAGCCCAGAGGACTTCCAGTGGCTTCAGACTGATGGTCAAATGTTCCGATTTTGGCTGTTTTGTTTTCTCACTTTGCCTTGACATCTAACGTAAGCAATAGCAGTCGATGTTTCATGGGATCTTTAAATTATGTGTACAAGTTTCTTTTTTTAAGTGTACCGTATGAACCTATTTAATGCCACAGCTGGTCTTGAAATGGCGAACCAGTAGACTTTTGGTTTGAATGTAGTGGTTTTCTGTTACACAACTGTTTACTGAACTTATTTAATGAGCGAGAACGTGGACGTTACTTTTGGGGCTTTTTTCGTGAGAGATTCAGAGTCTTTACGCACCGATTCTGCCTCCGTTTTGTGGAGTGTCCTGCACGCAGAATTTGTGGAATGCACTTGTTTGCCGCCTCACTACCAGTTTTCACTTGGAAGCAAATTAACTATCTGCTGTTTCTTAGTAGACTCTGAATATTAATCTCACCGCAAAAAACAAAATGTCTTGTGAAAATATTCCTATTTAAACATCTCACAAGTCCTGTTTATCTGTCCGGAGTGCAGGTACACCTTTAATCTACAGCCTTCAGTAATAATGTAATGTGAAACTTAGTGAAGCATTAAACCTAACACTGACACTTATCTTGTTATTAAGGAACCATCGTTTCACTTTGATTTAATCTTTATTCATTGCTATGTAATGTTTACTACTTGTATCTATGTATAAAAATGCAAATTTAAAAAAAAAAAAATGCACGTGTGAAAAGCCTTTCCACATAGTTTGTGAAAACATTTCCATTTGTTTTTGAACCGTAGAAGCACAATGCGCGTCGAAACCTTTGTTACCAGTGGACTTGATAATGGCTTTTGTAAATTATTCATAATGTGATGCTGTAAAATAAACTAATTGACCTTATTTGTCTGGCTGGTGGCTTTTTCTTTGAGGTAATTAACTTATTAACAGTGATCATTGAACTGAAAACTCTCCGCTGCAGCAAACAGACATTCTCACTACAATCATACACAAAGCTTTCTTTAATAACTCATTCTGGTAAAAAACAAACATCACTGTACAGGACACGATGAAGACGTTGGATCACTTTACAGTGATGTTGATGATGCTGATGTCTTCGTACGGTTTGTCGGTCTTGGGGTTGACTTTGACGTTAGAGATCCTCTGGACGGCCTCCATGCCTTTCGTACACCTTCCAAACACAGTGTGCTTGTTGTCGAGCCAAGGCTGGGGGGGGGAGAGACAGGCATCAGCACATTAAAACCACTAATGACAAGATATTCTAAGTCCTTTTCAGACGTGGAATCTGTAACGTTGCTGGCTTCATCTGTTTTAGGTTTTTTGTAGCTATCAGATTAAAATAATGATATCCAGGAGGTCAACTGTTGGAGCCAGGGGATTGCTAGCTTAGCTTAGCATAAAGACTGGAAAAAATAATCATTCCAGCCTTTATGCTAAGCTAACCAGGTGCTTGGCTCTAGCTTCTTATTTACAGCAAGAAAGCAAAGAGTAATTTCCAAAATGTGATGCTATTTATTTAGGTTATAGAGTAGTACATATGCATATTTAATGTTGGGCTGCTGTAGGTTTCAGTTTGAGTTTGTGAACTACTACTGAGGGAACTTACCGTGGGTACGACAGTGATGAAGAACTGCGAGCCGTTGGTGCCGGGGCCTCCGTTCGCCATACTGAGCGTGTACGGGCGGTCGTGTCTCAGTGTGGCGTGGAACTCGTCCTCAAACTCTCCTCCCCAGATGCTCTCCCCTCCCATCCCTGTGCCCGTGGGGTCTCCGGTCTGAATCATAAAGCCCTGCACACAGGAAAGGCACGAGATTTAGACACAGCGTAATGCGGAGTCAGGCAGCGGATTAAAGCCGGAATACGTCTCACTAACCAGATAATACAACTTACTTTGATTACTCTGTGGAATATGTGGCTGTTGTAGTAGCCGTTCCTGCTGTGGACACAGAAGTTCTCCACAGTTTTGGGACATCTAAAATAAAGAAAGAAAGAACAGTGCTGTTTATATCTGGAATATACAAAAATATAAAGTGAGACTTCTGAACAAAGCCATAATGTTCTCAAAAACTTACTCCACTGGGAAAAGTTTGATGTGGATGTCTCCCATGGTGGTGTGGATGATGGCACTGTCAGACACTCTCTTGGGGCCCTCAGCCTGCGTGGCGGCCATCACCTCTTCCTTCGAGGGCTTCTCATTAAAGATGTCTCTGTCTGAGTCTGCACTCTTTGTATCCTCCGGTTCTCTCTTTGAGAACTTCAGTTAGGAAACAATAACGACGTGTTAGGACAGAGAGCGGTGGAGGGAAAAGCTGGATGGTTGTAATGCGAACGTGATCTCACCATGTAGAAGCGGTTCTTCTTAAACGCAGTGCAGAATATGGTGGGGTCGGGCATTACGTTATCTAAGGCGGGGTTGTCGGATGCCTTCATCTCCACAGTGGGCGCCACGTGCATCGCCTTCGCAACCCCCTGGAACAGACTCAGCTGGACCACACGAATGTTCTCCAACTTGCCGAGGATCCGCACACATCTGGGGGACGAGATCCAGACGCATTCATGTTATTAGAGGTGTGGTGACACAAAGCGAAGAGGGAAGTCACGGAGGTCAGGGTTCTTGCGAGAGAGGGACACAGGGGCCCCAAGATCCCTGATGAAGTATGAAACTCAAAACCAACCAAAAGTTTAATCTTGGACCCTGGCACTCCCATAACACGTGGATTCATTATAGACAGTAAAAACAAAAAGCATCAGAATGAATCAGGCTGAACCAGAGATACTGGTTTTTTAAGCATTCTTCTCCCTAGTAGTTTGCCTACATTACCCACAATGCAACCTGACTAAGGACAGACAGTTTGAGATACAGTTGTTTCATACTAACAGCAGCTAACGTAGCTTTGAGATGAGCAGTATACGGAGGACTGGTAAGATCACTTCTTTCTGAGGCATATGAAGTAGTACCCTTCAAGACCTTTACAAACAGATTAATGTGTAAAATTCACCTTTAATTATCAAAAAATGAACACGGTGCTGTCCTGACGCATGAAGTGGCACCTCCACTTACATTATATATTAAAGAAATACACTTCTACGTAATAAAACGTTCATCTTCAGGTAAAAAAAGCTATTCCACACAGCAAACGCCACATGTTTGGTGAGTGTGAGATACGTCAGGATATAATAACTAAACAACTTCCTGGGGAAAACCGTGAAGAACACGAACTTTCATACAGCCGTACCTGTTGGTTTCCACGTTGATGACCTTGATGCCCAGCATGGTCCCATAGAGCACAAAGTGGCCGGTCTCATCAAAGATGATGTTTGTCAGTCTGATGCCGTCCACCTTCTCCAGCTCTCTCTCCACAGCCATTCGCCTCCCGAACTCCATGTCCGGCAGCTGCTGCCTCATCTGCTGCAGCTCTGTGAACATCTGACGCATAAAGAGGCTGCGATGAGCATGTGAATCAGCCACGTCAGTAAAGAGCCGAGCTGAGCGGTGTGCGAGGACTTACCGTTAATGATTCATCGAACACTCTCATCAGTTTTCCAGTTAGGAAGCGGAAGATCCTGACTTTCCTGTCAGAAGCGATGGTGGCCATTTTCTTCCCGTCGGGAGAGAACGCGAGACTGGTGGGATAGGTTTTGTGTTTCGCAAATTCATACAAGTCTGTGTCTGTTTTGTATTCCCATTGCACGTATCTGGGGAACTTGAATTCGTTCGGGAGGCCGGTCCAGTATTCCAGCATTCCCGCCTTGTCGGCAGAGACGATGACTCTAAATCTGGGATTCAGGCGGATTTGGGACAGCGGCGAGGAGTGCATCTTGTCGAAGACGTGGAGGGGCTGGTTGCTCCCCCTTCCATCGTAGACGAAGATCTTCCCTGTGGATTTTTCCGAGCAGGCCACCGTGGATATGGCATCCCCGGGATTGTAGACCCACTCACTCTGGCCTGGGTGAAAGCTGCGCAGAAGAGAGAAAATATATTTCACATTGGGAGAGAGGTGTCACTGCGTCGTCCATGTGTACACATCAAACATGGATTCATTTGTGATTTAAACTCACCCCAACTTCAGCATATTGATCATGTCAAAGTTGACAACATCAAATACTTTCATGGCCTGATCATCACCGACGGAACAGAGAAGGGCCCCTTCAGCACTGACTGCAATGCTTTCTATCACACCTGCAGAAAGCGAAGGAGCGGTGTCACTACTTATCGCACCGTACAGAACATATAAAGAACAGGAACTGTAATATAAATAAAGTGAAAGATTGGGATGGATCCGACGCGTACCGAGATGACTTCGAAAGTGTTTGACAAACTCTATTCCCTCTTCCTCCTTCTTCTTCCAGAACTTCACATGGCCATCTTGGCTGGCCGTGATAATGAAGTCAGTCCTGAAATAAATAAAAAAAGACTTTAAGAAGCAAAGCCTGGAGCAAAAAGAGAAATAAAGTAGGGCTGAACAATGTTTTTAAAAAAGATCAGGTGGAAAAATGGTTGAATTTAGCCACTTTACTTATCAAGGCACACAGGTATTAATGTTAATGTTTTATCACAGTATTGTTGATGAGTTCTTTCCATTGTGAACTAGCTGTGGGTTGTTTTCCTAAGATGCAACACATGTAGGTCGTGACTGACAGCATGTTGTAAATGGTACTTATATAGCGGCTTTCTAGTCTTCTGACCACTCACAGTGCTGTACACTACCTGTCACATCCAGCCATCCTCACTCATTCATACACCGATGCACAGCATTGGGAGCAATTTGGGGTTCAGGATCTTGCTTAAGGAAACTTTGACATGCAGCAGGAGGAGCCGGGGATCGAACCGCCAACCTTTTATGAACCAGGTGTATTTGTTGTGTGCTTTTATGCTTTAAAATCCTATTGAACAATTTATTAATGAAGTATCTATTGGCTCAAACATCCTGCTACTGTTTTAAACTACTGTTAAGGTGCTGATACTCTCTTATAACACTTAAATTGAAAGATTTATCAATGAACAGTCTTCTATAATCAGCTTTTTATAATGTTTTCCTCGGTTTAACATACTGGATTTGTAAATACTGGTAGATATAAACTGTACATTGGTGATATAACTGAGCCAGCCCTTTTTATCTGCACATTAAAGTTGTCTCACTGTCACTAACAGTTAAAGCTGCTCATTAATCACAGATCGAGGTACATGTTAGTGGGGATATCCCACAGCGCTGCAGCAGGTTGAACACATTTATTTCATGTACATAATGTAACATTTACAGTTTCTTGCAGAATCACTCACTTGGAACAAACGATGTGTGTGATAACGTCTCTGTGCATGTAGCTGCGTTCGTACATCGCAGCCGAGGGGAGGTTGTCCAGATAAACGCGCTCAAACTCGAGCACTGAGGGAAGAAAACCAACAAACAACAACAACAACAACAACAACAACAACATGCAGGAGTTAGCGGGAGTTTGCATTGTGAGCAGATGAATGAAAATGTGGCGGAAGTATCAAACTGCCAGAAACGGACCTTTCCTCTTCTTGGACTTTGAAGCTTCGCTTGGCATGGGCCCGACCCACTCCTCCTCTTCTCCTCCATCTCCTCCTTCTCCTCCTTCTCCGTCCTGAGTATCATCTGCTTTTCGCTTAAGTTCCACATTGTTTTCTGCCTCCGCCATCGCTGCAATCTTCCGTGTGTGTGTGTGTGTGCTCCTTTCCGGTTTCCGCTACTTCCGTTCGGGTTCTTGGACGTCTGAATTCTCTCTCACCGGGTTTAACTGACATATTTTCGTAAAAACAATCAATTATTTGCTCCGTTAATTCCTCTGAAGATTGCATATTTTTTTTGGCTCGTTTTACCCGAATAAAACGGAGCTGTTCACTCGCTATACACACAGATTCAGGAGCAACAATGTCCACAGCTTACAGTATATTTCCTACCGGTCCCGACATAAATCAGCGTCGCTACACGGTGACAACAGTCTTTTTTAAGAATGTATTTATCGGGCTTTAACCTTTCAAATTCAAGTATTTAATTCATTTTTGCTGTAGTGGAACAAAAGTACTGCGTTGTTTCTGAGGGTGTATTGTGATGGAAGACTTGGGTCAAACCAAAAGTCACCTTTAGGGGAGTTTACAATATTTCTTCTTCCCTTGTGTCACCGGCACATGTGCAGAATTATATTCTTGTGAATTAATTATTCAATAAATGCGATATAAAATGAATTTTACTAAATCTAAATGTTTTAAATTAAATAAATATAAAAAATAACAATGTTTGTTATTGAGAACCCCCCCACGTACTCGGAAGTAAACAATGCGCTCACATGTATGGCCAAGATGGCTGTAGACAGAAAAGTCTGATATTTGTCACCTGTAAAGCTAATTTAACAAACATTATCTAACTTACTGTTTTATATTTTTAAGTATCAGACAGCGTAAAAAAAAACTCAGTTTTCTTGCTCCAACGACAAACACAACCACAGCGGCAGAATGAGCAATATTTACATCCAAGAGCCGCCAACAAATGGAAAGGTAAGCGCGACTTTTTTCAATTGTAACTTCTACTTTATCCCTTTATCTGCTTTTCTCTTAGTAGTTTTCGACATATGCTTTACTTTTACAGCTTATATCGCGGAGGACGTTTAGCTATGTTGCATATTTCGCTGAATACTATTTAAATGCAATGTAACATCTTGCATTTGTACTCTTTTACAGCTCCAAAAGTTTGCATTATAATAAGAAAAACACTGATATTCTGCATGTTCATTGAATGCCCTGAAGCTAACGTTATTTGTGCCAGATGAGATGTTTGAGTGGAACATTTAAATCACTTTACTGGCAACAGGTAAATGTGGAAATGTGGTAATAATGGATTATTTAAATGTCCCACTTTGTGACAGGTCCTGTTGAAGACCTCAGCAGGTGACATTGACATTGAGCTGTGGTCCAAGGAGGCTCCTAAAGCATGCAGGAACTTTGTGCAACTGTGCATGGAAGGTAAAAAGTCAAATCCAGTTAAAAGACATGTTGTATTCTCTAACACGCTGCAGAACTTGTTAAAACAAACCTGCTGAAGATCAGTCATTACAGCAGTATCAGTCATCCAACCCGATCATCCGAGTTTTGAGAGGTCTGCCTTTGGATTTAAAAAAATGTATGCCAAAAGTTATGCAGGAACATTTCTGCATCTATGTTGAGATTTATAGCTCTTACGATTTATCTGAAAAAGCCACTTTGAGGCACAGACATGTTTAAATTGAGTCGTGCTTATATATCTATATTATATATAGTTAATCATAAGGTTTTGGGGTTATCCTTTAAGTATTCTGGTGTGAAGATGCTAGCACCTTAAATAAATATATTACTGAAGTGTCCTCTATATTGTCTAAAATTACATTGAATATACATGTATTACTCTGGCATGATGGTGCAACAGAAGCATCATTACATTCTTAAAGGAGATCCCTCATAATATAACATACGGATTAATATTAAGTGTTAAAATGTTATATTGTGGTTACACACTTTACATAGCAGTCTATTTTATTTCATCATAGTTTCAGAATTTTAAATACACTTTGAATGACTCTTCATATTTATATTAATATCTCTCTTTATTAGACACCCTGACACACACACACACACACACACACACATATATATATTTATATGTGTGCTCACCTTCATATGTTATTAGTTATAACAGACTCTTCCAAGACCATTCTTGGATTCTTTTTCTTTTTTTTCTCGCACACCCAAAATTGGTCATTTCAGTTATGAATTTAATTGTCGTAATTCTTTATTTTATGGGTCCTTAGGTTTCCTGGAATTAACAGTGTAATTCTGTTCTAATTACGGGAAAAAATAATTCCTGTTATTGAAAGAAAAGCTCAATTTAAAAGTCAATTTTAATGTATCAATGATTTATTATTAGACATTTTATTATCCGCATATGTTGACTTTTATGCTTGCCTGCAGACAAATGACCGACTGTGTACTCGCTGACGGAGACTCTCTAGCTGACGCCAGCAGTTCATTGCAGTTAATTAATTGGAAGTGCACCAACTGAATACTGTCTCTATTTTCCTTGTAATTACTCCCAATTTACATAGTTATTTCCAGGAAACTCCTTGGAAATTATTGGGAAATTTTTCTGAAATTACAGGCCTGTAAAATAAACTTTATTCTCTTATATTTCTCTTTCCTCTAGGTTACTATGATGGCACAATATTTCACCGAGTGGTGCCTGAGTTTATTGTTCAGGGTGGAGATCCCACTGGAACAGGAACAGGTGGAGAGTCCATCTATGGTCGGCCATTTAAGGTCAGCCTGCTTCTATACTTCCTTTCTGATCATTCTGTATGATTAATGGTAAAACTAAGAATCAGAAGTGTAAATCTTATTGCACATTAACTTATTAACCTGTGCGCCCAACTTTTAGGATGAGTTTCACTCTAGATTGCGCTTCAATCGAAGGGGTTTGGTTGCCATGGCAAATGCTGGGCCACATGATAACGGCAGTCAGTTTTTCTTCACCTTGGGACGCGCAGATGAACTCAACAATAAACACACCATATTCGCCAAGGTAAATATTTCCTATGTTTGTTGGAGTCAGTCCTGGGCCAGATATCTGACACAGGACATTACTCTCTGTGTCAAACGCCTCCCATAGGCAAGGACTCAAATCAGCATCATTTTCCTGAATTCCTCAATTAAGTGTATGTCACCATTTGTGCTTCTTTTTTTTTAATATAATCCCCAATGCAGGTCACAGGAGACACAGTTTACAATATGCTCAGATTAGCAGAAGTTGAATGTGACAACGAGGAAAGACCTTTGAATGCCCACAAGATAAAAACTGCTGAGGTATTTTCTTCTTCTTCTACTTTTATCCTTGCTTAACAACCTTTTTACATTTTAGTGTCTCTGATGTAAAAACCCTTCGTCTCTTCCAGGTGCTTCATTCTCCTTTTGATGACATTATTCCTCGGGAACTAAAGAAAGCCAAAAAGGACAAAGATAAAGAGGATGGAAAGAAATCACAGTCAAAAGCCACAAAGTGAGTGCTCAGACTTCATCTGTCTACCTGATAATATAAATACCTGTACTATTGGAAGGTTTGTGTTAAATAACCTTAAACCACCATCTTTTTTGTGTCTTTAATAATAGTAGTACAGTGTTTGGTGCCCTCAACAGATGTGATCTTATGTTCTTGTTCTTCTTCGGCCTCATTGGGTCATCATGCTTAAAACGACACAGTCTTGTTGTTATTGATGCTTCATTGTGTTGTTTTTTGTAGGAACTTCAGTCTGTTGTCATTTGGAGAGGAAGCTGAAGAGGAAGAGGAGATGGTGAATCAAGTCAGCCAGGTACTGAAGTGTAAAACTCAGATGGTTCTAGCTGAGCAGTTATACTGTATATATGTACCACCTCGCCTTTGTTTCTTGGTTAATTTAAGGTATATGTAATATTTCTTTCTATTAAACTTAAATTGATGCTTTAGAAATTGAGGTTGCATTGACATTTTTTAAACGAAAGCCAAATGTGTGAGAACAAAATGAGTTGCTCATCATTGTTTATGTTCCTTCAGACACTAAAGGGAAAAAGCAAAAGCAGCCACGACCTCCTGAAAGATGATCCCAGACTGAGCTCCGTTCCAGCAGTTCATAAGTATGTACAATTATTCATTCATTAATAATTATACAATAAACACCTTTCTCTTAAATGAACACACTGTATTTGTACAGTATGTTTGGACTGTATATGTGTATGTGTATATATATATTTTTTATGTGGTGCTATAAAAAATCAAATCAATCAAATTCTACTTTAAAAGGAAAAAGAAGAAGGGGGCATCAGGAGATCCAACTGAGGTGAGACCATGTAAAGATCAACAACAGCGTTCCCAGAGTCACTTTTATGTGATCGTTCTGAATCTGAAGTTTCAATGCGTTCTTCCAGACAGACGACGAGGTCGACGGAGACGCTGACGGCGATACGGACGCGGGTGAAGACTATGACTCGGATGAGAGAGAGAAGATGAGAGAGCTCATCGGCAAAAAGCTACAGAAAGAAAAAGGCGGCGAGAAAGCGGCGGAACTCAGCGAGGAGGAACGAGGGAAGAAGCCCAACCGCAGGTACAACTGTCAGTCTCAATCTGAATTATAAACTGTTTTTTAAATAGTCCACTTGTAACGCAGTGTAACAGCCTGGTGGGGGAGCTGTTGAACTGTGTAATAAAGGGAATAAGTGATAAACTCTCTCCTGTTTAATCAATACACAGAGGATGAGGACCTGGGCTTTAAAAATTTAGACACACATTAGGAAAAGTGTTTGAAAACTGTTACAGGAGCATAAGGCGACCTCTTGAAATGTCTTTTGTCTCCCCAGCACCCCCAAATATTCCACTTAATGTGATATATGACAAGGAAAAGAAGCATTTGAGAATCCGGAACCAGGGAGTGTTTGGCATTTTTAGGATTAATCAATTATCAAAATAGTTGCAGTTAATTTTCTCTCGACGACTAATCCTGTCAACTCTACATTGAGTTCATCTTGAAATATCATGACCACAAAAACAGACCCATAAGAGATGAGAATGATTTGTATAATATTTAGACACTCCTAAGGCGCAGTCACACTGAAAACAATCATTAACTTGTATTAATTACAGCCTCTCTGCAACAGCAAATCCCCTCAAAACAGTTTTGTCTGCCGGCTACCCTGATTAGGTCATTGTTGGATTTCAGAAGCAGTTTGACATACAAATTGGTGCACACATTGATGTGCATTTTACCGTGTTATTGAAAACATGTGCATCACCCAAATATAGCACACTGTGCTGTTCACAAGCAGTCAAACTGTAAAATGCAAATGGTCATATGCAAAAACCTCCACCGTCATATTAAACAAAAAGACAGTTATACTATCCACCAGCTGTCCAAAGCCTCAAAATGTTCCATTTGTTAGCAAATGTGACAATGAAAAGCAGCAAATGCGCATATTTTAGAAGCTGGGAGCAGATATTTCCCTAAAAATGTATCAACGGCATACATGTGTGCTGTGAGGTATTAACATTGCACTTTAAAGACTGACGTTCAGTCCTCAGTATGGTCACTTCTCACAATGCAACTCAATTGCACCTTTTAATTAAATGCCTAAATGCCCGTTTATTTCAAACCTCACACCTATAGTTTGTAATGCAGGCTTAGGTCTTGAATCCTAAGTTAACCCTGATGACATCACTTTGACATTATCAGAGTTACTTTGTCAGACTTCATAAAGCTCCTCCAGAGCCACAGAAGACATTTAACTAATTGAGTTAATGCTCAGGTTGACAAGGAAACTGAACTTCATGTGTAAAATCTGTGAAGTGCTCCTTTTAAAAAGGATTTTAAAAATGTCAGTGTTGAGTGTTTTTATATCCAATCCCCAAAAACGATCTAGTTAATAGCACAGCACTTCAATTTTGAACA